TCGCTACCCGGAATCGAACCCGGGACCTTTGAATGAGAGGCCAACACCTTAACCTCTAGGCCACGAGAGCCCCCCTCCTTGGTTGGTATCCAGAAATTTTGACCTACACCAAAAGTGGGCCTTGCCCTACCCATAGGAGAAGTTTGGTTTCATTGGTGTATATTTGTTTGGTTACAGAGAAAACTCTCCTTGTCTGTGAGAGAAACTGAACAAGGGTCCAAGAACTTTACCTTCGATTTTCTCGAAACGGTATTTTTCGGGATAGCCCCCTTGTGCTTAAAAGCGACCATAGAGTCGACAATGTGTGAGACAGGCACCTACTGCCGGAGAGAGAAGTGGTTGTCTTAGACAAGTGGACGTTTTACACTGTCATCACTTTACTTGAATATACTTTCTCCTTTCTCCTTCCTCTTGTTTCGTGGAATGTCGAGGGGATCTGCAGTTTTTGGTAAACAGCTGGGTTGGTGGCTTCTGTTCTCGATGTAAATTATTCTTTAGGAGGACCTCTATAACGCCAGCCAGCCAGCCCCTGTATCCTGATTCTTTTGAGTTGTGTGCTCGAGAAGCTGGTTGACTTGGCAACATCCTCATCAAATGGCGAAACCATATTAAAAACAACAACACACAAACAAACAAACTAACTAACTAATAACTACCTAACAAACAAACAAACGTACACACGAACAAACACACACAGACAAACAAACAAACCCCCAACGAAACAACAACATATCTGGACACGGGAATCAAACTCATGCCTTCTGTATATGGCGACAAAGTACCTAACCGCTTCATCGCAGCCGCCGATCATGTGACCATCGAGCTACACAGACGACAGTGTTGTGTGTCAAGTCTTCGGTTTGTGTCCAGCAAGGATTTCAGCTCTTTTTTTAGTTTGGTTTTTGTAAGGTTTTACAGCGCTCGCAACTACATAAGGTCACATGAGCGCCAAGAGGTGGATGTCAACAGGGAAGTCCAAACCGGGAATCAGACTTACTCTGCTCACCTGTTTAGCCTCAACAGCATAAAGTCTACTTCGACTATCAAGGCAACCTGGAAATATAGCAGTTCACAAGAGAGTGACAAACATACAAAAGAAGCAGAAGAAAAATGACGATAGTAAGGATGAGGAAAAAAACCAGCAGCAGTTCCATCTATGTTGTTCCGGCACACTATGAGCATGACATTGATAAATCAGCC